GAAGAGAAAGATAATTTTCAGGCCTATACTTGTCAGCTATTTTCTTTTTGGTTCACATACCGTGCTCTGGTAAATATACAAACAAGCTCACTCAACAGTTTTCATACTATTTCTATTAAAGGCAGAACATTTTCAGTCTCAGGAAAAATCTCCTTAGTCACAAGATGTAAGACATTCTGGAAAACAGCAAGGTTGTAAGTTCAATGTATTTCCTACTCTCTCCCAATATGCTATCATTAAAGCCATCCATGACAAAGATGTTTATTCAACCCAAAACAAGCAATGCACTGTTTTTCCAAATGCATAACCCTTTAGGTGAAATTGCGTATCTCCCTCTCTTTTTCTTATTGTTTGATGAGAAAGGAGATTTATATTATACTCCTATTTTGACAGCTGGCCTTTAGACTCCAACTTTAGTCTATCTTCCTTCTTCCTTCTCTCCTCAAAAACTTACTCAATGTCTGTGTGCAGCGTGACCATACATCCTGATTACATGGAGAGTTCCAGTTGCCACCTGTAGGTGCAGTGTCTGGTGCAGTTAGTGTGCCTTTTAAACTCTGAAAAATACCCCAGTTTAGTTATACAGCCATCCTAGCTAAGTGCTGTACTACATTAGAGACATTACAGAGAAGATACCATCCTTTTCCCCAACGGATTTAGAAACATATACAGGAAAACAGAATATTGGGAAATTTTTCATGCAATTTTATTTCCTAGGTTTATATGGTAATTCTTTCTCCCTTCCCCTTTCTGACTTGTAGAAACCACATTTTCCAATTGTCCGAGTGTGAATATGCCTTAGTTTTGGAAACAGTACAAGAGGGACACCTGGGTGGCTCACTGGGTTAAGTGTCTGCCTTCAGCTCAGGTCATGATCCCTGGGTCCTGGGATTGAGTCCAGCATCGGGCTCCCTGTTCAGCGGAGAATCTGTTTCTACCTCTCCCTCTGCCTGCTGTTTCCCCTGCTCTCTTGCTCTCTCTCTCTGGCCAATAAATTAAATCTTTCTAAAAAAATAAGTAAACAGCACAAGAACATTTAAAGTTGTAGCAAAATTCCAATGGCTGTTTTGGTGGACAACATACAGCAGAATGACTCTGAAGTAGTATAGTTTAAAAGTTTATAGGCCAATTTTCTAGGTTGTTCCTTTCTTAATTGAAAAAAGACATAAATGTATATGTAAGAACCTATTTAGCCAGAGCGCTTCCATCTGGTTAAACAATAACTTTGTTGTTTATACAGTAAAACTTAAACTGTCCCTGCCCCCCTTTCCCCCAGGGGACGTACTGAAAAACAAGTCCTGGAAACCAGTCCTAGGTAACAAAGCCCAAATACAAGGGTGGGTTAGGCCAGGTGAAGACATCCGATCAGTGGAGGGGGCGCATACAGTCTCCCTAGCTACCAAGGAGTAAGGGCCCCGCCCTTTGGGTGCCGTTTGGGCGCCAATTCTGACCAAGGTGATAGACTAGTTCAAATGTCTACTATAGGGCAAACTGTAATTCAATTGGTCACTTATGTGTGACCTAACATGACTATGCAGCTTTCTCTGTGTTTTACAATCTCATTGGCCACATGTGCATGGCCAGGCCCAACCACATGGCCTTTGCCCTTAAAGGCTAGTCTGTAAGGCAGAGACGGATCGTTCGTGCTCTCTGTAAGAGGCATGGCCCCGGCCGGTTGGTTTGATTCTTGATGCTTGGCATGGAATAAAGCTTTGTTTGACCTTCACTTTGTATCAGTCTCGCTCCTTTAATCACGGACCCATTAGTGGGGGACTTTTCAGTATAGCTGGGTTTTCCATATAGGATTAGTTCCCATTTTTAATAATTAAATGGCTGCCTTTCTTCGCTAGCCTAAAGCTGCCTTTTTTTTCTCTTCAATAGCCTAAGGTACGTCTGTCCTGCAAGTTATAAGCCTGTTTTTCCAATATCTCTGCAACTCTAACCAATCTATCCCTTTCAGATCCCTCCACCTTTTTCAATCCAGCTGGCACTCTAAGGTTCTGAGTCTAAGAGTAATTTTAAGGATCTTAATTTAGAAGTCCAACCTTGAGCTGTTTAACCAGTATATTTTTTAAAAAAATTCCTGTGTATTGATACTTTATCAACTCAATAGTAACATTACTGGGGATTAATTTGATAGTGTCAAAAATGATAAAGACATTTCATTTAGGCTAGAAGTAAATTTTTTATCTTCTTAAAAATGTCTGCAGGTAACAAGTTAATAGGATCATGGTAAACAAACAAAACAGGGTACTTTGACTAAACAGATAATTTTTGTCTCTTCTGTAAGAGGCAAAGCATTTTAGAGTCTTATGAATATGTAAATACTGTATTTTATGAAAAATTTTAAAATAAAAAACTTCCATATTCTATTAGTATATAATTATAAAAACAAATAAATAACATTTAAAAGTGCAATCCAATATAGAAACTGGTTTCTGTAGAGACAATTCAATGACTCAATGAATATGCAATTCTGCAAATAGCTGTTGAGTTGATTGATTTCATATGATATACAGCTTTTTCAAATTTTATGGGTGGGAAAGTGTGCATGTGTTATTGATGCTAATCAAAAATCAATGTCACTTTGAAGTTTAAAGCTAAAAATACTACATAACAAAAGGGGAGGGGAGGACACACAAAGAAGGAAAACAATAAAGTGAGAGCCGAATATTTCTAATTCTAAGCCTAAAATAAACATTTTGAAGAAAAATAAACAACTGTTCTTCCATAAACTTTAGTAACCAAAAATCAGCATCCTGTTTCATCCCATCCTCCAGCTTTCTTTGGCCTTCAGGCATCAGATTTGACTACTGGTTATTTTATCAACCTATTCTGGACTTTTTTACTACAGTTCTCTTCCTTGTTCTGTCTTAAGGATTTCTTTCTCCCTTTTGCCAAGCAAATTCCTACTCTAATTTCAAATTCATCAATAAATATTGCCTTTCATGAAACCTTTCTAGACATGTTCTCTCTTTCCTTTGCTACCAAAAAGAAAAGAAAATTTGAGAAAAAAAACCAACACAAAATAACTTCCCCAACTTCATCCTCTGTGCTAATATAGCAGTATGTATATTTATTTCATTGACTTAAGTAGTTATTTTCATATTTACTTCCTATATTACACTATGAAATCCCTTGGAAAAGGACTGAGTGTTAATTACCTTAGGAACTTCTATTAAGTAGTGCCTGGCATAGAGTCAGTACAGAGCAATTACTTACTTTTTTTTTTTTAAGATTTTATTTATTTATTTGGCAGAGAGATCACAAGTAGGCAGAGAGGCAAGCAGAGAGAGAGGAAGGGAAGCAGGCTCCCCGCTTGTGCAGAGAGCCCAATGCAGGGCTCCATCCCAGGACCCTGGGATCATGACCTGAGCCGAAGGCAGAGGCTTTAACCCACTGAGCCACCCAGGCGTCCCCTGAATTACTTACTTGAAATTGCTTTTTTTCTTTTTCTTTTTTGAAACTGCTTTTTTCTTATATAACATATGGTCAATACAAAAACTGAACAAATAGACACCTTGTTTATTGTCTCTTGGGAAAATATACACGTTCATCGTAATATTAAAGAACATTTATTGCAGCCTTGAAAAGTTTTAAGATTAGTTACCAATTCAAGATTTCAAACACAAATTTATAGAAATTATACGTGAGAAAATATTAACATTAACAAAAATAAACTTTAAGTAATTGTATAGTCTTTTAATTATAATCTAAATGTTAAAATGTATTACTGATTAATCTAACAAATTAAGAGTGGTTTTCGCCTTTCTGACTAAGTCCAAATTCACGTTGTGGATATTATGGTTTCTCTTGTACTTACATGAAACAAGATCTTGTCTTGCTTATTTGTATAATAAGCCTTTTTAAAGTGTATTTTAAAAGTTCGCAGCTAAAAAATAAAAGAACTTACCTTTTCCAAGTTGGAAATTCATTATCAATATAAAATATATACATTCATCTGTATTTTAAAACAATTACTAGAAAAATGAAACTAAATTTTTAGAGGTAAATCCTTTCTGTATTTTGAAATAGGAAACTATAAAGAACCAAAAAAAAAAAAACCGAATATAATAGAAGCTATGTAATATGGCCCTCTGAGACCTAGCCAATTCATTTTATAAACTCTGTTTTTTGTTTTATTATTACATCATATTAGTCACCATACTTTTTTTTTATTATATAAATTCTGTTTTGATCGCTTTTATTTGAGGATTCTCCAAATATCTTCATCTTTCTTAAAGTACAGTAATCTGGCTAGGCACTATGCTTTAATAGAGGCCTGATAAATTTGGGAAAAGATGTTTTCCAGGCTTTATATAGGAAAGTTCAATTAATATTATGGGTTCATGTTAGCTTTAAAAATAATAGCATTATTTCTGACTTTACTTAACTAAAGATTAAGGAATCACATTTTGTGATGCACAAATACTTACATGAATATTTTCTATCTTTAATCTTTTCAGTTTGTTTTGGTCACTATTTGGTAAATTATTTGCATCGTATAGTCTCTGAAATCTCTTGGTATCATTCAAGGTGTTACTAAATCCACTCATTTTGGATTTTGCTGGAATCTTAAAGAGTACTGCCAATTATATAATAAACATTACTGATAAAGGTAATAAGGAAACTATGAATAAGTATTGAACATATCTCAATAAGATACAAGATACACTCTTATAATACAGAACTTCATTAATTCTCAGAAGTTGACATTACATGGCTCTTGAAGTTGGATGGCTTTACTAAATTAACATAAAAGCAAAGAGCAACTTCCTTCCTATAAAACATGTTTGTCTTTGGTTATAGTAGTCATTAGAAAAATACCGTAATTCTTTATGGACTTGGAAGAAAGACTAAACCTAATGGTCTCTTCATGGGTTTTAGTGATGGACAATTACCATATTTTATTAGGTCATAATTATAAATTTAATTTAGCATTGGTTATTTTTGACATAAGAACTTACTCTGTAAAAAGACAAGTAAAGACGTTTGCTTACCTTGTATTACATGTGAGTTGTCTTTCAAGAAGAAGTTATACAGGTATTTGGGGATAAAAGCAGACATACATGCATAAGCCAAGGCTAAGAAAGAATAAGGCAAAGATATATAGCAAATTAGTTAATGGGGTAAATGGTCAGTAGTCACTCTGCACACGATCCTTGAATCTAGTATTAAACAAGAATAATGTTAACAATTGATGGAAACACAAAATTAAGTGGGAGAGAACCTCTATCTTTTAAAACAGAAAATATTTTGGATGACAAAAGATAACCATCCTAGTAATTTTTCAGTTTCGAATGAGTATGACAATCTTTATCCCACAACATTAAAAACTTTTATTATCACAACTTCATACTTAAAAAAAAATCTAAATTGGTCATTATTAATGAGTCATACAGACCTTAAGATCCTTAATTTTTTTGATACAAACAAAAGAGTCTGAGAACTTTGGATTTAGGAGCTCTAGTCATAAACTGTTCTTTCAAAGATCTCTTAATATTCTTGGATCAGAATGTGTAATAATAGACTATGTTTAACTAAACATAGCAAAATCTCTGGTCTAGATTAATGAGTATTGATGTCAGAGAACAGTACATTTTAAAAATCACTCAAATAGCGAAATTTTAGCTCTCTGGGATTATGCTATCTCTAGACTCAATTCCTGAAATCTCTGTAAATTCTGACCTGAAATAGAATTTATAAAAGATGGAAATCCAAGATTCAGACTTCTAGAGATTTATGCTATATAGGGTAGCAGCCTAGATGTGATATCATTAGTGATTAGAGTCAATTAAATTTAACAAATATTTTTTGAAAAACCCACTATAAAAGAGGCATTATAAGAGGAGGACAGAAAATTAAAAAGCTGTCATTAAAAAAAGCTTTTAACCAAAGAAAGGGTTACTATGTTAGTATATAAATAACTAAAATATAAAACATACATAAGATAAACTTCCAGAAATATAAGGTGCTGTATGAGTTCAAGAGGGAGAATAAGAAAAGTCTTCATTAAGAAATGATTGAAATGATCAGTTTTGGAGAAAAAGACCACTATTTATTTCTTTACAAACTGTTTAGAAAGTATACATGGACTAAAACTAGTTTCTAAAGAAGTCAAAATTTTCTCCAAAGTTCATTAAGTGGCACAAAAGAAGATGAATTCATAATCAGATTCCCCCTAAATTTCTAGTCACTGTCTTGTTACAACTGAAACTCTAGTAATAAATTAATCTTTCATATCCTCTAAAATGAGTCTAACAGATTATTTCACAGAAATTTACAGTATGTAGGGGTGCCTGGGCAGCTCAGTCGTTAAGAATCTGCCTTCGGCTCAGGTCATGATCCCAGAGTCCCTGAATTGAGCCCCATATTGAGCTCCCTCCTCCATGGGAAGCCTGATTCTCCCACTCCCACTCCCCCTGTTTGTGTTCCTGCTCTTGTTATCTCTCTCTCTGTCAAATAAATAAATAAAATCTTAAAAAAAAAAAAGAAATTTACAGTATCTACTAGGAAGAGATCAAGTACCTCACAACAAAAACAAAAACCTTGGGTGCCTTGGTGGCTTAGTGGGTTAAAGCCTCTGCCTTCAGCTCAGATCATGATCTCAGGGTCCTAGGATTGAGTCCTGCATCAGGCTCCCTGCTGAGCAGAGAGCCTGCTTCTCCCTCTCTCTGCCTGCTTCTCTGCCTATTTGTGATCTCTCTCTCTCTCTGTCAAATAAATAAAATCTTAAAAAAAAAAAAAACTTTCCTGTTTGAATAAAATATTTTAGGAAAATATGTACAGTGATTATTTACATGATAAACAGGCTTACCTTCATTATTGAAATTTAAATATAGGAATGGAGCACAAAGTGAATCAAGACCTGGTGGAAAGGAGTTTGGGATAAAGAATTCAGTAAATAAAGATCAGTATAAGTGTATATACATACCTTATTAAGTTCCCTGAATTACTTCTATATAGATTAAGCATTTTAAGTATTACTCATCCAGAAATATATTACACATCATGGTGTAGTGTGAGGAGTAATTGACAATGACTGGCACATAGTATATGCCCAATACAGATCAGATACTGTTATTATTATCTATTATTTTGAGTTAAAGTGAGGAATACAGTAGTTGAAAAATGTAAAATTGATAGAAGGCTTGGACTATATAGTCTCATCTCTGACCCTAGGTGATCCTGGCAATCATTTTAACATCTCCAAGCATGTTTCCTTATCCTGGAGATGGAAATTTGTCTTATAAGTTTCTCTGGGATGAAGAAAAGCAATCTTTCTAAAATTGTACAGTAAAATACAAATATGTTACATATGTCTTTTATTGATAATAATGCTGCTCATATGTTATCATGTTGAAGGGAGGTAGGTACATAAATCTATCTATAATTGTTAGGAAGATACAGAACTCTAAAAGGGACAAGGCTAGGAAAAATAATAGCTTTGTTTTAAGTTTTGCCAGAAATTGAGATTTAAAATAAAAAAAAAAAGCAACTACTGTTCATTACAGCAAATTAAAAAATAAAACTGGGAAGAATGGGCATCTCATTCATGAATTTATCAATGACTACAAAAATAATAATGAGAAGGACTAAAAATGAAGGACATGAAACATTAAAGTTATTTAATAAGAGAGAGATAATAAATAAAATAAGCAGTGTAGGGTGGTATCCTATTCTCTAATTCCTAATAACCATGATAACCAGGTTGTAAATCATTAAATGACAAGAATATCAATTAACCCCAAATTAATTATGGTATAATATTATTTTATTACTTGCATATCATTAAAAATAGTATCCCCAAAGATTACAATAGTACAAAGTATTCTTCCTACTTGACTAATCAGTATTATGGCAAATTGTTTCATTAAATATCATGCATTTAAATGATATCTACTATGCATTTAGACAAAGTTTTAAAAAAAGATCTCTCAAAAAATGGAAAACCAGTAATAGCTTTCCACAAAGCTAAGGATATTTTGATAATTTGTTTTAAATTTTTAAATTTTCAGTCATGCAACATGCTTCTGGTACTTCAGAAAGAATCTTAATAATGGGGGGAAAATGTTACCTTGCCAATACACAAGATCAGGATGAGACACAACCCAGGCTTTTAATACACGCCTAAATTTTGCATGACCTTCTGGTGATGATAACAGTTCATCATACTGATGACACCGAGGAATATCCACTTCGATCTGTAAAACAGCAAAACAATAAGGTGGAACTGGAATAGAGTGATCTCCAATAAACCTCAAGATAAGGAAAAGGAAAGAGTGTATCCTGAATATCAGAATAGACCATCTACATAATCCTAGTGCCTGAAGTTTTTAAATTTTATATTATTCCTCTGGAAATACCAAGAAAGTTGTATGTATATTTAAAGAAAAAAGGCAGACCATTTAATTGAAAAGGCATTTATTAATAAAGTTTCCAAAAAACCTTCCTTTACATCCTGGACTAAATAAAGGGCAAATTCTTCAGATAAAAAAGTACAATTATTAGGAAAAGTTACTTGGTCTATATACTCCTTCGGAACAATTCTAACTCATTAACTTGTGAGTAAAATAAGAGCATGCATATATATACATATGAAGGCTGCTGAGTTTCATAATTAAGAAAATTCCTCTTGCCTTTCTAAAATTTAAAGATTTGGCAGAATTATCTTGGGTTAAGAAAATCTAAATCGTACTTGTCTATCTGTAGGAATTGGAGTATCTTTATCAATTGCATCATACTTGGCATGAATAGCCCCCTGTAAAAAATAAGAGAAGATATATTAATTTATCATATCCTTAACAAATTATTGACTTAGACAAAATACAGGTCTTAAAAACATCTATCTTTGAAAATACACCCAATTATAGATAGGCACATTCAAACTCAAAGCATCTTCTTAGAAAATTCTTCACATCTTTTACAATCTGTGATGAAAGTCTGTGACAATTTACCATTTTGCTAAGGCAGTCATTTGAATTATACGCACAGGAAGACAAGTACATTGAAAGAATCACTTAATGAATATGCTTAGCTAATCTCCTAGTCCCCACAACACAACACAGCCTTGTTGTGCTCTATTCATTGCCCTCTCACACATAGTAAGTTTCATGAAGAAATTTAAAAAAATAGGGGGAGTCATCCCTTGAGAAATTTTCCTGTTAAAGTTGGAAATGAAAGCAAAAATAAAATAAAATTGTTTAAAGGAGTTCAGCACCAGAAGGAAGAGGCTTGGGATAAATTAAAGAATGAAATAAAGAGACCACTTACATTTTCCATTTATACTGTTACAGAAAGAATAATTACATAAACTACTTCAAATTTTGGTAATGTTCTATAGGATCATGCACAGAACAATTCTTAATTCTCTGGTTTACTGTTATGGTAGAGAAAGAGCTAGGAATTTGGAGTTCAATCTCTGATATTACATGCTACTATCAGCATCTCGGGCACATCTACTTCATGAGACATTTGGACAAGCTGACCTTGAAAGTACTCTTGAATTTTAACATTTTATGGTTCTACGATTCTAATTATTACCATACGGTAGGAAAAATAGGCATTCTTATTAAGCAACCAACCAAACTCAAAGATACTTGTAGACTTTCACCAAAGAAAACAGGAATAAAGGAAGGAATTTTTTCAATAGAGTTAAAAGGATTAAAAATACTTGGGAGAATTCGCATACAAAAAATTATGTGATGGATACCCATAAGATATCTATAAGAGAATACAGGAAGGCAGGATGACAAAGAAATTGACAGGAAATGTAAACATATTGGCAAAGATTTGGCCCATTACCATGACTGCTGTCACTAAAGTCTCTGTTAGTACTTCAAGTCACTCTAATAATGTGACACCTTGCCTCTTCTCACTGCCACCCATAAGGTACCACAGATGACAAAGTAGCATTTGTCCTGGTAGATGGTGCTGGGAAGACAGATGTGCCAAAAGGAACTAAATTATATTCATGATTATTGACAAGGTTCAAATTAGAGTGGAATATTTCTCCTTATAATAAGCAGTCCTATTTCCTTTTTTTTTTTTAAGATTTTATTTATTTATTCAGGAGAGAAAAAGAGGGAGAGAGAGACACAGACAGAGGGAGAAGCAGGCTCCCCACTGAGCAAGGAGCCTAATATGGGACTCGATCCCAGGACCCTGAGATCACGACCTGAGGGGAAGATAGATGCTTAACCAACTGAGCCATCCAGGTGCCCAGCAGTCCTATTGCTAAATGAACATACTTTATAAGCAGGGCTGTATATTTATAACTGATATGTATATTAAAATATTCAATTTTTAAAATGAATAATCAATATAATTTGAGTCCCATTAAATGAAATATTAAATAGCATAAATCTAACAAGACTTCGTATTTTTCTATTCTATCCATTCTATTCTTTTCCTCTATTCCTTTCACTAAAAATTGCAAAATAATCTTAATACTCAAATTTTACTACATAATTTTCTAATAACTTGGAAAATATATATTCAGAAAGTATTTCCTTCTTTCTTAACACGATTGATCAGCTTCTAACCTCTTCTTTCTTACCTCAACTCCCAAAAGAGCAGCCCAGGTTAAACCTCTCATAAGAGGAGGAATGTCAACTCTTGCTTCTTTCCAGATTTGATTTTTTTTATATGGATAAGCCTATAGGTAAAAAAAGATATGAAAAATAGCTCAAGTTACTAAGTGCCTTCTTTTAATCTAAACAATCCTGAATATACCAGTGATAAAGTTGAAGGTGACCTGCAATAAAGTTCCAAGTATCTGAAATTATTTTACCTGATGTTATTAATACATATTAAGTTAGCAGTGGAATAGTTCCCTACCTCTGTAAATGTTATATAGTACAATCAAAGAGAGGAGCTGAATTTACTGTTTTTAATCATCCCTCTCTATTTTGTGCTATGGAAGAATTATGAATGGATCCTACGGAGACTAATATTCTGAACCTCATATGTTAAGTAACATAAAAGGCACTTTGGAGAATACCTAGTAACATAGAAAGTATTCAGTAAATGTAAGTTTTTATTATGGTTACTTCCATAAGCTTGCATGTAAATTTGTCTTTTTATAAATTTGTACTTCAGGAGGAATTTCTAGAACAGAATTAATAGGACACAGGGTATGGATCCTATTAAAGGCTCTTAATACAAAATTTAAAATAGCTTTATAGAATGTTTTAACCAATTTACACTTATTCCAGAAGAATGAGAGTTCCAATCTCAATATATATTTCCTCACTTTGCTAATTCAATATGGAAAAAAGGTTAATTTTTTCAGTCCTAATAAGGATACATATTTAAATAGATTTACTGACTGGTTTTATTTCTATTATTTTTTTATCCATTTCTCTGTTTCAATGATAGTCATTTTCCCTATTGATTTTTAAATGTTTTTTAAATATTAAAAAAAGATATTAAATATCTTTTGTCTAGTGTGGTTTTGCATAGATTCCTTCATCTTGTTTTTACTTTTTAATTTTATTTACAATTCACATGTATCATTTTTAATATTAATCAGATAAAACGGGTTGTAAGAATTAGTGTTCTCATGACATCAAGATTCCCTAAGAATTACCAACGAAAAAAAAAAAATAAAGATTGCATACGGACTCTTTACACCTTATGCTTTAGAATCCTACCTTTAGCAGCCTGTCAAAGAGAATGATTCTGTTTAGTTGGTACTCTGTGTCCCTCTCTCGGATGATTAAAGGGAGAGTGGCAGCTGCAGACAACTCATTATTGCTGTTTGAATGAGGTAAACTAGACTGGCTATAATAGAGAAACAAGAGCAGAAAAATTGACAAAACATATAAAATAAAAACACCCTGAACATCACATTTTTGTATCCTCCTTAGGAAACAATTTTCCAAAAAAATATGCAAGCTTCTTATCAATCTAATAGAAAGAGAAAAGAAAAATAATGGTAAAAAGAATATATATATATACTCACTCATCTTCAAGTAGTGGGTAAAATGCTTCTCCACCAACATCTTTTAATCTCTGAATTTAAAGAGAAAATATTTATGATACTTAAGATCTGAGACAGAAACACTGATCTTTATTTAAAAGGAAGAATAAGGTAAAACTATATATTTATAAAGATACCAGGAAAACTACAACAGAATTTAAAATTCATTTATTGTAAACATGCAAATACACCATGCCTGCAGTGATTAAGTTTAGCTGTAAAGAATATTCTTTGTTTTTTAATTTTTTTACCTTCAGGGATTTCTCATAAATGTTGCACACCTATTATGATAGTGTTCCAAACAGGATGCAGAATTGCTAAAATTAGTATAAATTTGAATAAATGGATAAAACATTTTTTAAATTATGTGAAGATTATATAAAAAAGTACTTTTTAACACACATCCCTTAACTTAGAACTTGAGTCCAATTTACTTCTGCCTTGACATTAATACAAACTAAAACAAAAGCAAGGTGCTAAAAAAAGGATTCAGAAGAATTTCTCACATCATACTTTGAACATGCATGACTCAAATAGCTGGTAAGTCAGCCGACAAAACTCAATTTTCTTAATTATTTTTTCACAAACTTATTATAATAATGTTACTCCAAATAATGCCATTGCCAGAATTATAGATATTATTCAAAAGCATAAGGTGGCAGGCAATAGTAAAGTAAAATTAAGACACATCCTAAGTAGGGTGATTAAAGTTAATGCCATCTTGCCTGCTGCTCTGCTCTTCAGTTCAACTTCCAACTTGAGGGCAGAGCATCTGCTCTTATGGGGATTGACACAGAAGTTCAAGCTGTGTGTGTAGCCAGCATTGATCTTCTGTTGATTAGAGTTATTGTGTACTCACCCATGTGAGTTAGCCTCAGAATTCTTTTTTTTTTAAAGACTTTTATTTGAGAGAGAGAGCATGAGAGGGGTAAGGGGCAAAGGGAGAAGCTAGCTCCCTGCCGAGCAGAGGGTCCGATGTGGGACGTGATCCTGGGACTCCAGGATCATGACCTGAGCTGAATAACCTCAGAATTTTTAAAAGCCAAAGAAAAATCTTTTACCCACAACTGGCAAACCTGAATCTGGCAAAACCTGATTTTATGCCTGGCTTTTTTCTAAAATTTGATGTGCTGTAGATTTATGCCATTTTTCCTCTAAACTTTTAGGCGTTTCTTTTGTGGATTAAAATTCTAAGTAGAAAAATAAGATTTCCTCAAATTTTACCCCATTATTAATATGCACATTGTTTTAAAATTTGGGTTTTACTGTCCTGAAAGTCAAAATATTACAAGTAACTTTTCTGCTTTTTTTATATTAAAAATGTAGCATATTAAAAGTACAAAAAGGGCAAAAATACAGAAAAGTAGAAACAAAAATTATTTGGTTTCCATATTATTTTTAAAACAGCAACATAAACTTTTTTTTAATAATCATAGATAAAAGTATTTTAAATTTCAAAAATGGAAATGTAAGGTCATTGAGAAAGTAAAATTGAAGACTTGTATTTATTTAACTTATGTTCATATACTTTGATTATATTTAAAGAAGCAAATTAAGAGTAAAACCAAATTGGTCAAAACCATGTATTTGGATGTAATTTATTGTTTGTTGTTTTGTACTGCTACTTACTTCATCTACCATACACATTCTTTCTTTTCAAAGAGATGACAAGCTTAGTGTATTGTGTAGTAATAATTATAGATTTAGATTTTCTATTCCTTGCATTACGGCAGGTAAGAGATTCTAATTTCCTCCTACTACATAATATGTAAAATACTAACAGGAAAAGCCTAAAAATATAAGGAAAATCAATGATGTGAGACCCAAAACTGGGCTTAGAGATAAAGGATATAAGCTAGAAATAAAATATATTGATAATCATGGCCTAGGTTTTTAAGCACAATGGGACAAAGACTTGGGCATCTGATTAACAGGCAGCCAGACTGGAGGAGACCCTGCTATACTCAAGAAAGAACTGGGTGTGTCGGGGGCCGAGGGGAGGACATCCAACTTTAGCCAGCCTGAGTGATTGATGTAGGGAAGAAGAATACCCAATTCAGATTCTTTTTAGCTGTCCTGTCTCTCCTAATAAGGTAAGGAGGGAAGCTGAGAAGCTTTGTATGAAGGTCACAGCCCAGAGACACAGGTTCACTAAAGGGCTGAGACCTAACCATAGGACTACAGAACTCCTTCCCTTCCCTACCATACCTCCCATGTCAATAGAGCTCCAGTATAAAAGGGGATTCCAGCTGAAAGAGCTGCATGCAGGTCTCAGACTCTATTTTAAAAAGTCTCTAGGGGAAAAAAAAAGGTCTCTAGGGAAACCCAAAATCACCAGGGGGAATAAAACCAAGGATAGTTGAGGAAATTTTAGTCTTCGACAAAAAAAGCACACATAGTAAACAGCTAGATAAACACGACATTGTGAGCTAAAGGCCTATTTACCATAGTTCTTTTTATTGGTAAATCATGTTAGGGTTTTAACAAAAAATGGCAAGGCATGCTAATATGTGAAAAAGACACTCTGAAGAAACAAAGCAAGCCACAGAACCAGCCTCAGATTTGTCAGAGAGTTGGAAATTATCAGGCCAGTAATTTAAAATAATTCTGATTAATATGCTAAGGGCTCTAAGGAAAAAAGCAGAGAGCATGCAAGAACAGGTGGGTAATATAGGCATGGAGATAGAAATTCTAATAAAGAATCAAAATATGTAACCTATGTGTTATAGAAACCTATATGTTATAGAAATCAGAAGGAGAAAGGAGGAAATTTCTGGAAATTTTCAAAATTAAAGACATGAAATAACAAAGATCCAGGAAACTTTACAAACATCAAGCAGGATAAATACCAAAAGAAAAAAACTATGCCTAGTAATACCATATTCCTTAAAAGAAACCATCAAAAGTTAAAGGAAAAGCCACAGATTAGAAGATATATGCACTACACAAAGCCAACAAAGACTCCATATTTGGAATATAGATTTTGAAGTCCTCAAATCAATAAGAAATCACCCAGTAGAAAAATTGACAAATGATATGAACTAGTAATATATAGAAGAGGTAAACACACTACCAAGAAATATGAAGAGATTCATAACTGCATTATAATCAGGGAATTAAAATTAGTTTTATAGCAAAATATTATTCTATACCTTTTAGAGCAATGTATTTTTGTTAAGGTTTATTTATTTAAGAGAGAAAGAGAACAGGAACAGGGGTTGGGATAGGGAGGGGCAATGGGAGAGGGAGAAGCAGGGAGTTCCATGCAGGGCTTGATCCCAGGACCCCAGGATCACGACCTGAGCCTAAGGCAGACGCTTAACCAACTGAGCCACTCAGGTGCCTCTAGAGCAATAATTTTGTAAAAATTTGATAATATCATGTATTACCAAGTATATAGAAAATGAGAAACCTTATCCAATAATGGAAAAAAGATACAACTCCTTTTGTGAATGACTGAACAGTTTGTACTAAAGCTGAAGATGTACAGATCCTATTTCCCAATAACGTCACTCCTGGGCACATACCTTAAAGAAACTCTGACATATTTTATGAGATCAGGGAGGAATTCAAGGCTTCATGTATATCTTTAAGGTTTTATTAAAAAAAAAGAAAAAATCTGAGGTAGATTTGTCAAAACATCATTCTTACATTTCTTAGCTGGCATAAGGACAATGTCACGGTGGTGTCATCTAATAGTGAGCTTCTGTCTCGACCTTGTCCAAAGCTTTCACCATCTTCAAAGAGAAAACTGAAAAGAGATTAAAAAAAATAATTATTTTAATGAGAACACAAAAAATGATTTATTGCTTCTGCTAGAAAATAAAATTTATTCTAAATCATCATTCCCTCATCAAAGAAAGAAATTTTAGACTAAATGGATTAATTAAAAATATGTACTTAATATGTTTATATTTCACCAAACAATTCTCATTTTTAAATATAAATTGAGTTCATATGAATACAGTTTACAAATAGAAAGCATTTTAGGAATACAAGAGTGTGATTTATTCTCTTTGCTCATGCAGATTCAGTGTTAAAATTACTCTCTTGACAATATGTGTATGTGCTCCTGAGGAAGTTTATATGAGTGAGAAATGATAAAAGAAGAAAGAAAAATCATAATAGTAACTTCTCAAGAGAAAGAATAGTGAATAATAAATGCATAAAATTTCTTTAGGGTTTCAGAGAAATAATTTTGAGAATTTACATATATCTTGAAATTTCCATCATCTTATTTCCCAGTGTTCTGTTTAATTCAATGTGTGAGAAATATAATTGACTGAAAAATCAGTTAAAGGGGGAAAAAATAGAAACCCGGTAGTCTACTCAAATAATTAACCTAAAAATTTAACATGTGAAGAAAAAAATGACCAGCAGGTAATTTTTATTGTTATCTATAATGATCAAATCTAGTAGTAAAATCTAAAATTAAAAATTTAAAGCATTGTTGGAAACTTAAGAGATTTAGGTTCACACCTTTACGAATAAATACAAACAGCAATGGAACAGTAACAATTTTGGTCCTAAGAGTTGTACTGTTAATTAACTTTCAGTCTAATTTATGTGATGATGTCCAAGATCTTATGTGGTTCTACAGCTTTCGTAACAGTGATTGAGTACCATGATGACCTCTAGGACAATGAAGCCATAGAGTACATTTACAATTGTAACTGGAAATAAAAAATAGTTACTTATAATAGGCACACTAGTCTACTTTATTAACTCTCTTGAATATTACTATTCTTTCTGACTTGCACATTTTTCATTTTTGAACATCAATTATTAAAGCTATTCCATAATAATGGATCTACTTCAAATAGATCAGAAAGCAAACTATGTATTAAAATATTTAAAAATTTATTAAAAATAATAAAATGTTAATGAGAATTCTTCAAATAAAAGCTTCAGCCAAAAAACCAAGGTATTGACTTCCAGTTGCTTTCATAATCACTTAAGGAATGTCTAGCAAAGAAATCCCCCCCAAAAAATAAATAAATAAAAAAAATGTTATTACTAAGTGTTTTTCACTTCTAAGAGAAACTTCTTTCCTTACTTGGGGAGTGTGCAGATCGGTGGTTTAGACCGAATGATCTCCTTGTTGACAAGCTCTTTCTCCAAGTCACCTCCCGCTAAACACCAAAGGTAATAGACTTCTTCAATAGATCTTTCTGCCAGGTAATCACTGTTTATATCTATTAACAGCAAATGGAAAAGAATCATAGCTATCATATTTTTTGTTTTTATCAAAAGGCAATAGGCAATAATGGCTGGTATTCTCAAAATTAATTGAAGAACACAGCAAGAATCCCTTTAATAAGAACATTCATACTATAAACTGCACAAAGGATGAAATGCAGATATACATATTGGATGTACATTCAGTTTCTTTGAGAAAAAATAGAATTTTTACCCTCTATATTAGAGTTATATGGGAAATATATTCTATATATCAGGCTCTGTGGGGAAGGGATAAGGGCAGAAAAAAGCACTTGGACAGTTAACTAATACAAACTATCCCATCCTTCATGTCTTGAGGCAATTGCTGCCTCTTCTGAAGAGTCTTTCTTACTGTCTCAGGCACACTACGATTCTACTGCACTATGTTCATATTGAATTTATGTATAATAGTAATATAAATGTTTATCTGCCTCTCCATTTGGCATGAATGTTACTTGAAGTTATAGTGCATGGAACATAGCAGGAACTCAAAAAAATATTTGACTGAATGAATGATTAGTAAATATTTCCTGCCACGACCTACATCTTGATAACTCTTCAATGTAAGAATATTATTGGTGCCACTAAAACACACATTCTGAGAATGGTAATCTTTATAGATGAATGAAAAGAAAAAAGCTGATATTCTCTTACAATGTGGAATATAATGGTATGGACTTCTACCAATAATATAATTTTTAGAGATCATTTATAATAAATCATGTAGAATATGATATATGTATGTTATAGTGGAAATTCCACTGGGAATTAGAAAGCAATTTTGGCATTAAGGTTTGAGATGAAAATAGGACTTTGGCTTGCATAACAAATTTTTTTTTGGTGCCACTTCCTCAATTCTTAAAAGTTCTTGCTCCAAAGCAAGTTAAATTTAAAGGATTAAAAAGTTAGGTGGTATAAGAGACACTTATACTCACAAAACAAACTGAGGGTTGCCAGGGGGAGGGAGGAAGGAGAGGGTGTTAGGGTTATGGACATTGGGGCAAATCCAAAATTATCTCTGAATTCCCAGACAGGTAGCCATAAAGCCTTACTAGTGTAATATATATGTTGTTGGTAAATGCAAAACTGAAAGTAGGATAAGGGTACTTTTTTTAAAAATAAAACACTGTTTTCGGTCTTATTTATCATTACCTTTACATAGCTGACTGATATCCTCAGGCAGAGTCAAATCAGCACATCTCAAAGAAGATGAAAACAGACTGGCAGGTTTGGTAAAGGGAGTATATAAAGGTGACACTTCACTAAATACCTTGTCCTGCATTAATTCATCGGCAGTTGGCCTTGAGAAAAATTTAAAACACACAGTAGGAATGAGATACAAATTTCATCATTAGAAATTCTTGGCATCACTTATTTAAAAAGTTATAAAATGTAGAAAATTAATTTTCAAATTATTTAATTATAATTTATATTTACCAGGGTAAATCAACTCTCTTTTTTTCTTAAATTGCTGTGTAATGCTGACCTTTTAATGTTTATTCCCTGATTTGTGTGTCTCATTACTCTCTTCAAAAGTAAAAAAATCCCATATATCACAGTGGTGCCAAATTTGCCAGTGCCTTACCTAATTTTGAAAATAGTGGTATGAAAAAAGATCACTGGAAATATGAATAATCTTCTTATATTGAAAAATCTGATAAGACACTTTGTAAAACTTTCATAATACATGGCTTTTGTATTATATGATGTAGGCCTGTTTCTGAATATAGTGTGAAATGAATCTTGTGGCTTTGGAAAAAAATTAGAAGAAAAACAACAAATTTCTACAGAGCTTCATAATGTAAGAAAAAAATGATAAGAGCTAGCATATAGTTTATATCAGGAGTCAGATAACTATGGCTCTTGGGTTAAATTCACCTACTATTTATTTTTATATGGTTCATGAGCTAAAAATGGATTTTGTATTTTTAAGTAGTTGAAAAAAATCAAAATATTATTATTTTGTGCTATGTGAAAATTACACAAAACTCAAATATCAGTATCTAAAAGTAAAGTTTTATTGGAACATAGCAACACTAACTCATTTAAGTATTGTCTTTGGCTGCTTTTAAGCTACAAGATCAGTGCTGAATAGCTGTGACAGACTATGGTCCACGAAGACAAAAACACTCGCTATCTGGTCCTCACCAAAAAGAGTTTGTTGATTCCTGAGTTAAATAAACACAGTAGCACATCAGGCTTTTTTTTTTTTTTTTTTGGAAAAATATGATTCGAGAATATATTTTATGCTGTGGCGTTTAATATATCTACGTTTAGAAATATCTGTACCTACATTTAGAAGAATATGCTTGCTTCAGTATGAAAAAAAGAATCATACTTTGCAATATTTCATGTGCATTTTTCTTTTTAGTTTAGTTAACCATGATTATTTCCCTGGTTATCTGCCAAATTTTCAATTAACATTATTGTCAGTGGGTCCAACCAAATTAACTATGGCACAATGTACTTAGAAACTTGTGTCATGGATGATGTTACAGCATACTGAAGGAACTATCACTAACTCAAATTGCCCATTAAATAACCAGCAACCAACCATAAAAAAACCAATGTTTCTTTAAGTTACTCACACATGGATCTGTGGCTGACAAATGTGAAGTAAATAAAATCTTAAATATCTACTGGCAATGTGTTTGATTTTTCTAAAGCACAAAAATAAACACTGGAAAATGTTCCTTAAAAAATTTGCTAGAATAATGGCATACATTCAAGGGGACAGTTAAAAGTCTTAAATACACCACCAGTACAGAAAATAATAATAACCTATCCTTAGCAGAGTCTAGATGAATACTTGTATATAAAAATGAAATGGCTGTACGCAAATGTTGAATTTTTTCCCTTTTGTGCTTTTTGCTCTTATAATCTATCAAAGATTATTATATATGAGCATCTTCATTTTTTACTTTTCCCTTGACCATGATTTACCTGTGTTACTGAATATCTTAATTAAAATTCTGAACTAATAATGCCTTTTGGTTTTCTTCCTCCTCTCTTAATGTGGCATTAAACATAAAAACATAAAAATTATGTTTTTAATACCATTCCACTCTTCCTAACATGTATTGATAAAGATGTTTTTCTAAAGACTAATTAGAATATATTATTTTCAAATATCATATACTTAAGGAGTTTAGTAAAGATAACTGTAAGGCTAACAGTGATATCACCAAATGAAAACAAATAATAATACTGATAAGAAATCCTTTTATATTACCAATAATTATTAGTAAACCTCACCATTTATTGAAGTTCTAGGTTAAATACAATTGCTTTTGTTGTAATTTCTCTTGTCATTCATGTTTGGGAATATCTACAATTTAGCCTATTTTCTAATTAGAGACTAGGAAATGAACCAGTAACTTCTTTGGGAATGTGCCAGTTTTCTGACAGTGGTTTAATTACTGTTTTCTTCTTTTATTAATACATATTAGTGCCATAACTAACAGTTATGATACTAGTGTCAATTATGTATTCTTATATATATGTAAATATTCTTATTTAATCCATTACTATTATAAGTAATAAGAAAAACCACAAATACTTTTATACTAAAGATAACAGCATAATCTCTAAGTCTTAATAATATAAACCTCTTGGAAGGGTGGAAGGTGAGACACTTCTTCAAAAGATTTATCACATTTTCGGGAAGGTCCTGGTAAATAACAACAAAAAAAAAAGAATTATTTAAAATGATCCACTTAAAAAACATATTTTACTCACACTAGTCAAAAAGGCTAAAATTAACAAGTCAGGAAACAACAGATGTTGGCAAGGATGCAGAGAAAGGGGAACCTTCTTACACTGTTGATGGGAATGCAAACTGGTGCAGCCACTCTGGAAAACAGCATGAAGGTTCCCCAAAAAGTTGAAAACAGAGCTAACCTATAACCCAGCAACTGCACTACTAGAAGTTTATTGAAAAGACACAAACATAGTGATTTGAAGGGGTACATGGACCCCAGTGTTTATAGTATCAGTGTCCATAATAGCCAAACTATGGAAAGAGCCCAGATGTCCATCAACAGGTGAATGGATAAAGAAGATGGGGTATGTATACATAATAGAATATTACTCAGCCATCAAAAAGTGGAATCTTGTCATTTGCAACAACGTGGATGGAACTAGAGGGTATTATGCTAAGCAAAATAATAAGCCAACCAGAGAAAGACAATTGTTATATGATTTCACTCATGTGGAATTTAAGAAACAAAACAGAGGAGCAAAGGGGAAGGGAGGGAAAAATAAAACAAGACATGATCAGAGAGGGGGACAAACCATGAGACTCTTAACCATAGGAAATAAACTGAGGATTGCTGGAGGGGAGGGGATAGGGAATAGGGAAACTGGTTGATGGGCATTAAGGAGGGCATGTGATATAATGAGCACTGGGTGTCATATGCAACTGACAAATCACTAAATTCTACCTCTGAAACTAATAACATACTATATGTTAATTAAATTGAATTTAAATAAAACATTTTTTAAAAAGAAAAGAATTATTTAAAATGATCCATTTAAAAATATATTTTACTCAAATGTTTGCTATTCTAGGACATTTTGATTTTTCTAATAAGTCTTTTATTTGGACTTTATACTAATTTATATTAGCTTATCACTCTGTGAAAAAACAAAAATCTGAACAGAAATAAACATAACTTTAAAATATCTTGCTGTTAGATCTCAAGTATACAAAATACATACATTTCAATAACAGATTAATGACAAACCTTTATGATGTCCAGACAGCCATGCTCTTCGGCCAGAACTATTATAGTGTCATCTACGCAATCTGTAAAACAGAAAAATTGTATGAAGTAATGCTAATTTTCTTATTTATCAGAACTGAACTCAGATAATTTTTTTAAAAATTGTGTTATGCACTTTTGGAACCTGGAATATTAAAAGGCTTGTGACTTTGTTAAGCTTTGTTACATGTTTTGATAAACATAAAGACTTTAAACACTAAATATTAATTGAATTACAGATACTAGAAGATAGCCACTTAAATAATGACAAAAAGCAGTGGTTCAAGATAAAGATTCTCTTGTAATGCACATACATGTAATGCACATATACATATTATTCTTTTGCATTTGCATAATTTGGAGAATGTACACATATCTCTGGGGATTTAAAGTATACATTTTACAATACATATCAAAATATTAATACCAAACTTTAATGAACTAGAACAAACAATCCTAAAATCTGTATTGAGCCACAAAAGACCTTGAATAGCCAAAACAATCTTGAAAAAGAACAAAACTGGAGATATCATGATTCCAGATTTCAAGAAATACTACAAAGCTGTAGTAATCAAAACAGCCAACAAAAAAACCCCAAATCTTGCCATTTGCACGACGTGGATGGAACTAGAGGGTATTATGCTAAGTGAAATAAATCAGTCAGAGAAAGGCAAATACCATATGATCTCTCTGATATGAGGAATTTGAGAGGAAGGGTGGGGGGTCATTGGGGGAAGGGAGGGAAAAAAACAAACAAGATGGGACTGCAGAGGGAGACAAACCATAAGAGACTCTTAATCTCAGAAAACAAACTAAGGGTTGCTGAGGGTGGCGGGGTTGGGATAGGGTGGCTGGGTTATGGACATTCGGGAGGGTATGTGCTATGGTGGGTGCTGTGAACTGTGTAAGACTGATGATTCACAGACCTGTACCCCTGAAACAAATAATACATTATATGTTAATAAAAACAAACAAACAAAAACCAGTATGGTACTGACACAAAAACAGACACACAGATTAACGGAACAGAATAGTAAGCCCAGAAATAAATTCATGCTTACAGGGCCAAATTTATCTTCCACCTAAGAGGCAGAATATGCAATGGGAAAAAAAGACAGTCTCTTCAACAAATTCTCTTAGGAAAACTGGACAGCCACATGCAAAAGATGAAACTGGACCACTTTCTTACACCATACACAAAAATAAACTAAAAATGGGTTAAGGACCTAACTATAGGGGTGCCTGGGTGGTTCAGTCAGTTAAGCAACTGCCTTTGGCTCAGGTCATGATCTCAGCATCCTGGGATGGAGCCCCTCATTAGTCTCCCTGCTCAGAGGGAGTTTGCCTCTCCCTTTCCCTCTGCTCCTCCTCCCCATTTGTGCTCTCTCTGTGTCTCAAATAAATAAATACAATCTTTAAAAAAAAAAAAAAAAAGGACCTGTGAGACCTGAAACCGTAAAAATCCTAATAGAGATAACAGGCAGGAATTTCTCTGACATTGGATGTAGCAGCATCTTTCTAGATATGTCCCCTGAAACAAAGCAAAGATATTGCTAGGACTACATCAAAATAAAAAGTTTGTATAGTGATGGAAAAAAACAACAAAAATAAAAGACAACCATCGAAAGGGTAAAGATATTTGCAAATGACATATCCGATAAAGGGTTAGTTTCCAAAATATATAAAGAACTTAAACAACTCTTTAATCACTATACTGTAAATCTGAAACTAATATAACACTGTATGTTAACTATACTGTAATTTAAAATAAAATAAAAAAGAATTTATATAATTCAACATCTAAAAAAAAAAATCCAACTAAAAATGGGCTGAAGACATGAACAGACATTTCTCCAAAGACATACAGATGGTTAACAGACACATGAAAAAAGTGTTCAATATTACTCATAATCAGGGAAATGCAAAGCAAAATCTCAATGAGATACCACCTCACACCTGTCAGGCTAAAATAAAAAAAAAATACAAGAAACAATAAATGTTGGCAAGGATGCAGAAAAAAAGGAACCCTTGTGCACTGTTGGTAGGAAAGCACACTGGTACAGCCTCTGTGAAAAACAGCATGGAGGCTCCTCAAAATATTAAAGATAGAAGTAACATGATCCAGTAATCCCAGTACTGGGTGTTTACCCAAAGAATAAAAAACACTAATTCAAAAAGATATATGCACCCCTATGTTTATTACAGCATTATTTATAATAGTCAAATTATGGAAGCAGCCCAAGTGTCCACTGATAGATGAATAGATAACAAAGATGTGGTGTGTATATACACAACGGAATATTATTTAGCTACAAAAAGGAGCAGATTCTTGCCATTTGCAGCAACATGTATGGGTCTAGAGAGTATAACGCCAAGTGAAATAAGTTAGAGAAAGACAAATACCATATGATCTCACTCATTTGTGGAATTTAAGAATCAAAACAAATGAAGAAAAAGAAATAAAAAAAAACCAGACTCAACTATAGAGAAAAAACTGATGGTTACCAGAGAGGAGATGGGTGGGCGGGGGCAGGTGAAACAGGTGAGGGAACTAAAAGTACATTTATCATGATGAGGACTGAGTAACGTCTATACATTGTTGAATCACTACATTGTACACCTGAAATTAATATAACACGGTATGTTAACTACACTGAAATTAAAATTATAAAAATAATAAGGTCTAAGTTTAGTCTGTAGACCATATTAAGAAATCTCTAAGACTCCTTAAAAGCCTTATTATCAATATTTGAAACTAAACATTGTAAATATGGTAACATTTTGTGCAATTATATTTATAATTCATTATTATTTGATATTTATTGATACTTTTCAGTACATATTCTTATTTGTAAACCCTATTAACATGGACATTAATTTGTCACTCTTTTACATAAAGTGCTCTATCAGTTTTTCTCTCCTTTATTACCGCATGTGCTTAATTTATTCTACTCTGAAGTAGATTACATACATTTATGTAAACTTGAATTAAACATTATGATCTAATATACATGTAAAATAAATGAGCTTGTTATAAGGAAAAATAAATATTCTTCTCAGTCATTATTCACACATGATTCATCAAACAGAAACTCAAAACTTAAGCTAAGTTGTCTGAAGGTAAACTACTACAGAGAAGTTTATTTATTCTCATATTTTGATTTCAGAACTTCGTTTACTTGGCTAGATCATGAAGCTAAGAAAATACTTTTCTACATTATAATTTCTTAATGAGTAAGAAAAGCACTACAATAATACTTCAGAAGGCACTCTTAAGTTGTCCTATTACTGCTTACCACTGATCATTAGAACATTAAAGAAATTCAGGATATTTCAGTGTATTCACTTTTTTAGAACACATTCTTAATGTGTATGATTACTAACAGTCACTAAAGATTATATTTGTAGTTGAAACATAATAATTTGTGAGACACTTACCTAATGTAAGCAAAAATTTTAGTCTTTCAGAAATATCCAAGCTCTGAAATAATTTTCTTCCCTGAATAAAACAGGAAAACAAATTCATGTTAACATTTACATCTTTTTTCAGGGAGGCATTTTTCCCCCCAGAGATGAAAATGATTTTATCGGGTATCTCTTTTTTTCTTCAGAGGTTTTATTTGACTTTTAAAGTAGCGTCACTAAGGAAAATGTATCGGTTTGACATTCAAACATTTCATATATTTAAGGATCATTACATTCTAGTTTAGAATCAAACATACTTCACTTTTGAGAGCTATATATATTTGGTTGTCTAGAGAGATTCCAGGCCACCAGGAGCCTTATGTAAGGGACTAAGATGACCCTGGGAAAGATTCATATTATCCTTACATTCACCCAACTAATACTTACTTATATATCATTATCCAGGTAATCTGCTGTCTCCATTAAGAAACATTCAATGACATGCCTTCCTCCTTCCACAATGAATTAGACAACCATCCTTTGTGTTCCCAAAGCACCTGCTATATTTATTTTAAGATACATATATTGTATTTTGTTTCCTTATTATTCAGCTTCAGGGTGCTGCTTGAAATAGAGTCTGGAATCAGTCATAACTTCAACAATTAATGTGTCAAGCAACAATTGTGTGCCAAATTGGACTTCTGGCCACAAGCTATATAACTTGGGCAAATACTTAACCACCTTAGGTTACACTTTTCTCATTTATAAAACTGGAACATTAACTGTACATGCCATAGAGGTTGCAGTGAAGATTACAGAAATGTATAAAAAAGTACCTCACATTTTTTGCACATAGAAAATCATTCATAAATGTTGGCTATTATTCTTTTTTTTTACAAACAAATTAAACGTACAGGATCCTTTAAGTAGTCTTAGAAGGAAAGTCTTAAGAAGATAGCCTGGTCTTTATGTGGAGAAAAAAAGACTCTTTTTGTTTTGTTTTGTTTTGTTTTTTTAATAAAGAGAGAGCAAAAATATTTCTTAAAGTGTCGCTCCCTGCTCCCATTCTCTTGGAGCTGACTTGTTAGTGCCTCATTCTTCTCCTGTGCCCCATCAGGAAGCGGCATTAAAGACTTATGAAATTAGGGGCACCTGGTTGGCTCGGTGGGTTAAGCCTCTGCCTTAGGCTCGGGTCATGGTCTTAGGGTCCTGGGATTGAGCCCCACATCAGGCTCTCTGCTCAGCAGGGAACTTGCTTCTCCCTCTCTCTCTGCCTGCCTTTCTGCCTACTTGTGATCTCTCTCCGTCAAATACAAAAAATCTTAAAAAAAAAAAAAAGACTTATGAAATTAGAACTACAGGTAGAGAGATCATTGAAAAAAAGTTGCCATTCCTCTCTCAATTTTTTACATTATCTTATTAATCTTTAAGAAATACAGGTTTGATTTTATCAATATCTTGTTTAAAAATTTAAATGGTCCCCCAAGCCTTATATATCAATATCTTGTTTAAAAATTTAAATCGTCCCCCATGCCTATGTAACTTAAAGACAAACTTCTCAATTTAGCATTCAAAATCTCCTAGATATCTTTTCAATGTAGGTTCTTAGTATGTATCTACCTGTGATGCACACACACTCACACACACACACACACACACACACACACAAAGCAGCTCAATTTGATTACTTGCAATACAGTGAATATACTCTGCCTATATGATGATATGATATGATTGATGATTACATAAGATCATATGATTTTGGCTTATGTTACTTTCCTACAGTAATTTTTCTTCATTGTTATCAAAATTTTATATATATCCTTAATTGCATTGCCACTCTTGAATGTTAATTTTGTGAGTTAAAGATTTCAAAATTCAAATTACTTTCTCTCAGCATTTTGATGACATTGTGCCACTGTTTTCTAACATCCACATTTCTAAGAGATTTAACGCCAATCTCATTCTCGGTAGGTAGTATGTCTTTTCTGACACATTTTAAGATTTTCTCACTGACACTGATAAAGTCATCATAGCTTACTAAAGGCAGGCTGGTGTGTTAAGAGTACAGCTTTGGGTATAGTTGATGGGTACAAATCTGCTCAAGTACTTACTATGATGTAACTAGGACAGGCTGCTTAATTTTTCTGTACCTCAATTTCCTGATCTGTAAACTAAAGATAACAATTAGACAAACTTTATAAGACTGTTGTGAGTACTGATTAAGATAACAGAGATTTATAAATGTATCTGACTTTTGAAAAGTTCTTAATAAATGTCACCCATTATTTCATTACTGGTTGTCTCGTAAAAGTTTAGTATATGATTTCTAGGTATTTGTTGTTATATGTCGTGCTTTTTTAAAAAATTTGTTCTACAAGGTAATTAGAGGGTTCTTTCAAACAAAGAAATTTACACTCAGCTTCTGATACTACTATATGATAGATATGAGAATATCTGGCTCTATCCTCCCTATTTATTTATTTATTTATTTAAGATTTTATCTATTTATTTGACACAGAGAGAGATCACAAGTAGACAGAGAGAGAGGGGTAAGCAGGCTCCCTGCTGAGCAGGGAGCCCGATGCAGGGCTCGATCCCAGAACCCTGAGATCATGACCTGAGCCAAAGATAGATGCTTACCAACTGAGCCACCCAGGCGTCCCTCTCCCTGTCTTTTAAAATTTATCTTTTCAATCTCTTTATTTCTTTGAGACATAATCTAGGATAATTACTCAGCTTTACTTTCTACCTTCAGTGTGTCTAGTTTCCTCTGATCCATCTAGTTATTTCAATAGTTACATTTTTTTTCTCTTAAAATTCTTAACTGGTTCTTCTTTTCAGTAAATATTCTTGATGAATAGTTTCTATAATTGTTTCACAAGTGAAATTGTTTCCTTTATCTCCTAAAGAACACATACTTTTATATTAAAGTCTTTTCAATGGTGTAAATTCTTCTATTTGTTGTTTCCTTTTTATTGCAGATATATGTATTTACATCATATATCATATTGTAGATGTATTGTTTTAGGTGTTTGGTATTTCCTAGATATGTACTCACCTATATACATCTTCTGGACTATGGAAACTTCTGGGCAGCAGGGTGGCTATACAGCCTTCTGGTGACATAGCAAGAATTTCCTAGCAAACCTGTTTTGGTATAATTTTTCCTCTATTTCCCAGGATTTCTAGTGTACAAACATTCCCTTTTTAGTTATTAGTGTGCTATTAATGTATATCTTAATATTTTATATCAATTCTAAAGCTTTGATGAGGTAGAGGGAGATTTAAGCTTATGTTCAATATGCCATTCTAAAACTAGACGGTCTAAACTTAAGCATCACTTAAAATGTCATGAAGTCCCTATTATGAAATTAATATTTCCTTTCTTGGAATTCACATAGTTCTTCTGTGTTTATCTTCAAAGTTTATGGATTTGAATTAAATTATAAGCTCTTTGACAATGTGTCTTAATCACAGTTTACTGCCTAATGCATCTGTCATGATGTTATACACAGAGTAATTAGTCATCTATATTTGTTGAATTGAATTACTCATATAAGACACACCCTGGGGGCGCCTGGGTGGCTCAGTGTGTTAAAGCCTCTGCCTTCGGCTTGGGTCGTGGTCCCAGGGTCCTGGGATCAAGCCCCGCATCAGGCTCCCTGCTTAGCAGGGAGCCTGCTTCCCTTCCCCTCTCTCTGCCTGCCTCTCTTCCTACTTGTGATTTCTGTCTGTCAAATAAATAAATAAAATCTTAAAAGAAAAAGACACACCCTGATCATTAGTAGAGTTTAGATATATGTGATGTAATAAAAAGGAAAAGCTGTAAATTTCACATTTACACTTACACTTCACATTCAGCATTCCAATGAGAATTTTCATTTAGGCTATGATTTTAAACAAAAGTGAGATTTGCTATCATTTAATATCAATGAAAAGTAAAATGGCATTTTCCCTTACAAAAAGCAGTGCCAATATGTAAATTATTTTATGATTAAAAGTACAATCATAAAAATTATAATATTTTTCTTAATCATAAAATATTTTAGTACAGTAAAAGATAACAGTGATGGACTATTTGCTATGTAACACACCATACTTATTTCATTTAGTTTTTCAAACAATTATATAATATAGACAAAAAATTTCTGCTTGTACAGACCTCAATGTCCAAGTAAAGTACACAAATGTGACACATGCTATAGTAGAAGAGGACAGCAAGGAAGATAAGGACCTAATGCTGGCAGGTATTTGAAAGTAGGACTGAGAGACTGTTAGTTGTCCCTCCAAATCCATTCTCATTGCTTTCTCCATATTTATGTGTCCCAGCTAAAGACTGTATTTTTAGTGTCCCTTGTACAGATGCGCAATGTGGCCACGTAAGTAAATTGTCATCAATGAAATGTAAAGGGTTGACATTTGCACTTTTAGATCATCTTCTTAAAGAACAATTACCATGAACTCACTTATCTCCTTCCCTTATGCCTAAAAGGTGATAAAGAAACAACTTTGGAAACCAGACGTTTGAGATTGGTGGAGCCATAGCCTAGCTTTGTGCATGACATGGACTGCTGTTAAATCAGGGAAAGAACATCCATGTTCTTTAAGCTACTATATTTTTAATTTCTTTCTTTTCAATAGCAATTTGGTCTTTGCCCTAATAAATATAGAGAGTGTCTGAGAAAGATCTCATAAAACACAACTCAACTACTAAGTGATTCTTGTAAGAAAACAACAGGAGAGAGAAGAAGGTATTTTGGGAAAAAAGAATACCACAGAAAGGGGGACCATGAAGATATCAAAGAGTACACATAGCTTTAGGGTAACTCTTTCTAGAACTGTTTAATTTTTTATACTTAGTACAATATAAATTCTTTATATTTAGTAAAGTATAAACACTTTATAAAGATACCAAAATGATAAGCAAATAAATTGTCAAACAGGATTTTTTAATAAGTCATACTGAGATTTAAGCCTTTTTTCCCTTATATCTAGTCAATCCACAAAGCAAAAACATGTTACTAAATAGCTTTCTTATCAGAAAACTTATTTTAGGGGTTCCTGGGTGGCTCAGTCATTAAGTGTCTGCCTTCGGCTCAGGTCATGATCCTGGGGTCCTGGGATTGATCCCTGCATTGGGCTCCCTGCTCAGTGGGAAGCCTGCTTCTCCCTCTCCCGCTCCCCCTGCTTGTATTCCCTCTCTCGCTGTGTCTTTCTGTCAAATAAATAAATAAAATCTTTAAAAAAAAAGAGAAAAACTTATTTTAATAAGCACACAATTTCTTTTTATCAGTCTAATATTTCTCTATACATACCACACAAAGCTCAAATAAAATGATTCCAAGAGACCACACATCTGATTTTGGGCCAGAAGGCAATGGTTTTTCACTTGATACATGATCAGTGGTTTTGAAAATTCCTTGTGCAATTACCTCAGGTGCCAAGTATGATGGATACCTGCAATGGTACATTAAACAAATGAACAGTTACTACAAACTACAAAGGGAGAAAAAGTAGTACTACAAGTTTACTATCTGTTTGATAAGATATATGTAAAAGTCCAGTGCAATTAAATTAAAAATTTTTGCTAGGAAGATTTTAATCTAACCATCATAATACAGGTCTTTCATGTCCAGAAATCAAGAGAAAATATATATATGCGTCTTAAATAATTTTAAAACTATTATGTCTCTCTGAAGCATTAATTCCTTTCTTTGCTTTCCCCTCTTTTTAATACATTGCCATCTTGTAGTAGTCTGTTTTCAGGTGTTTTCTTTTCCTCCTTATTGTCTGTCTTCTCCTTACACTTAACTATTAATTAAAGTGCATTTTAACTTGGAAAATAGTACATATTCTTTTGAGTAGAAATGTCAACACCTTTAAAGAAACATAAACTGAAAACTAAAATTCTCCCCCATTTCTGTGCTCTAGGCACCCATACATATTTATAGATATAGATAAACTTGACCATCCATCACCACTACCCCACAGGGCAGCATACTATACATTCTACTCTGCACAACTTTTTTTTTTCACTTAAAGTATATTTTAGAGATTATTCTATAAAAATAAGTCTAGAATGTCTTATTCTCTTTGAAAACTGCCAACAATTATATTGTGCTAATAATGCACTTAATTAAGAAAAATGCACTAAATTTATTTGACCAAACACTGAAGAACATTTTGAAAGTTTCATTCCAACATGGATAATCAATTGAACCCTATTCCATTTATTGAAAATGCTATCTACTCCCAACTAGTCCACAGTACCAGTTTCTACCACAAAGAAAATCTCTACATACATGTTGATTTGCATCTTGGCTCCCTATTTTGTTCCACTGGTAAATTTGCTGACACTGTACCATTATACTATCTTAAGTCTATAACATTATATAAGTAATTGCCAATAATTGCTAAGACTAGTCCTCTCAAAACACACACATCTTTTTCCAAAATCTATAAAGAACTTACCAAACTCAACACCCAAAGAACAAGTAATCCAGTCAAGAAATGGGCAGAAGACATGAACAGACTTTTCTCCAAAGAAGATGTACAAATGGCCAACAGACACATGAAAAAATGCTCAACATCATCACTTAACATCAAGGAAATACAAATAAAAAACAATGAGTTACCAACTCACACCAGTCAGAATGGCTAAAATTAACAAGTCAGGAAACAAGAGATATTGGTAAGGATGTGAACAGAGGGATATCCCTTTACACTGTTGGTGTGAATGCAAGCTGGTACAGCCACTCTGGAAAACAGTATGGAGGTTCCTCAAAAAGTGAAAACAGAGCTACCCTATGACCCAGCAATTGCCCTACTAGGTATATACCCCAAAGTTACAAATGTAGTGATCTGAAGGGGCACATGCACCCCATTGTTTATAGCAGCAATGTCCACAATAGCCAAACTATGGAAAGGGTCCAGATGTCCAACAACAGATGAATGGATAAAGAAGATGCGGTATGTATATATATAATGGAATATTACACAGCCATAAAAAATGAAATCTTGCCATTCGCAACAACGTGGATGGAACTAGAGGGTATTATGCTAAGCAAAATAAGTCAGTCAGAGAAAGACTAGTGTCATATGATTTCACTCATATGTGCAATTTAAGAAATGAAACAGAGGAGTAAAGGGGAAGGGAGGAAAAAATGAAATGAGATGAAATCAGAGAGAGGGACAAACCGTAAGAGACTCTTAACCATAGGAAATAAACTGAGGGTTGCTGGAGGGGAGTGGGGTTGGGAATGGAGAAAATGGGTGACGGGCATGAAAGAGGGCATGTGATGTAATGAGCACTCGGTGTTATATGCAACTGATGAATCATTGAACTCTATCTCTGAAATTAATAATATATTATATGTTAATTAATTGAATTTAAATTAAAAAATAAAATGTTGACTCTCCCCCACCCCCCAAAAAACCACATACACCTTTTAATTTCTCTGTAGGAGTGTTTAGGTACTTTTCAGATGTTTGTTCTCTCTATATATACATTTAGAACTATCTTGTCAACTTGTTTCTCTCTTTCTTCCTCCCTTTCTCTCTCTCTCTCTCACACACACACACACACAGAGGTGGAATTTTTATTGGAATTAGATCAAATGTAACACAGGTTGGGGAGAATTGGCATTTTTCTGATACCTACCCTAACAATCTATGAGCAAGTATCTATATTTATTTAGGCCTTTCATAATGTCTTTTTAAAAAAAGATTTACATTTCTTTCACAGGGGTGCTTTCACAGAAGTAAAATATCTGCTTAGATTCTTATTAGGTATTTCACATTCTTTTGCTGATGTGTAAATAATTTCTTTGTATTAGTTTTGTATCTAGCAACATCACTAAACCCTCAACATTTATGGGAGAATTCTTTTGAGTAGTCTGTAGATAAGCAAATCAGTTACGCTTAACTGATTTGTTTATAGTAACAGTTTTGTTTCCTCCTTTCTATAATTATAATTTTTAGTTCTTTTGCTGCCTTCTGTGGTAAAATTGCTAATATGAAAATAACTGCTGATAGTTGACCTCTTTGTCTTTTCTTTTTTTTAAGATTTATTTATTTATTTAGTTGACAGACAGAGATCACAAGTAGGCAGAGAGTCAGGCAGAGAGAGAGGAGAGGAAGCATGCTCCCTGTTGAGCAGAGCCCGATGTGGGTTTCAATCCCAGGACCCTGGGATCATGATCTGAGCTGAAGGCAGAGGCTTTAATCCACTGAGCCACCCAGGTGTGCCCTGATCCTCATCTTTTAAAATACTTTTAACCTTTCACCATCATAGTTTCTCTGCAGAAATTTCTGTCAGTGTTAACCATGAAGAAATTTTGAAAATTTTGAACACCTTTTCTTTTTATTACAAAAAGAACAAATGATTCTTTTCCTTTTATATGTTAATGAGTTTAAATACATTAATTAATTACCTAATGTTTAACCAACCTTGCATTCCTGGACTTTTTGTTTCTACTAATTTCACTTTGAAAATTGAAAATTTTATTTTCTTTATATATAATTTATAATATATATAATAAATTATAAATTTTACAAATAAAATTTCATTATATATCTATATATAGATATATATAAAATTTCTTTTCCTTGCCCAACTGCATTCATTAGTACCAGGTATACACTGGCATATGATAGTGGTGTTAGTAAATGTTTTGTTTTAAACCTACTAACTTTGGGGTTGAAATCTATCTACTAACAGGGAGATATAAATAGATGGGTGATTTTCACTACATTAAGGAAATAGTTACATAGTTCCTTTTTATTAAGAATTTAATAAAGAATGTTATCATAAATCTATCAGTTGTTTTTAAGAGAACACAGAAATGATTACTTGATCTTTTTTACTTTTGATATATTGTCCTATTGAATTATGTTTATAGATTGCCTAAACCATCTGTATATTGGTAGAATAAACCACACTTGATAGTATCTTCTATATGCTTCTGGTTCTTGTTAACTTTTCTATAGAATTTTTTATATTAATATAACATATTTATATTATATAATAACAGATAATCAAATATGGGTATGATTTATATTTAAATATTTTATGCGGTACCTAGGGAAGACCAGGATTAATGTTATACTAGCTTATGAAAAAGGATATTGCAAGCTTTTCCTTTAAAAATAACTTTGAGGGCGCCTGAGTGGCTCAGTTGGTGAAGTGACTGCCTTCGGCTCAGGTCATGATCTCAGAGTCCTGGGATTGAGTCCCACATCAGGCTCCCAGCTCCATGGGGAGTCTGCTTCCCCCTCTGACCTTCTACCCTCTCATGCTCTCTCTCACTCTCTCTCTCTCAAATAAATAAATAAAAAAATAAAAATAAGCTTGAAATGTATAGTATTGTAATTTAAATGGCAACAAATTTAACCACTACGTACAGGTTTGGTAGAATTTGCCTGTGAGTCAATCCAGGTATCTCTGTAGGGAGAGGTAATTCCTTCTACATTTCTATAATTGGTATTAGATTTTAAAATTTTCTTTGGGATTATGTTTTGGTATTTTTGTATTGTATTTCCCTTTCTTTTATTCTAGTTTTCAAATTTGCTCAGAGCTAAGCAAAAAAATAATTTATTGAGTCTTCTAATGTTCTCTACCTCTCTAGTTATTTTTCCTTTACTGTACCTTATTTTGTGCATTTGAGTAAGCCATCTTTTTGCTGATTAGGCTAACTAATAAATGTCTTTTTTTTAAGATTTTATTTATTTATTTGACAGAAATCACAAGTAGGCAGAGAGGCAGGCAGAGAGAGAGAGAGAGAGAGGGAAGCAGGCTCCCTGCTGAGCAGAGAGCCCGATGTGGGGATCGATCCCAGAACCCTTGGATCATGACCTGAGCTGAAGGCAGAGGCTTTAACTCACTGAGCCACCCAGGCGCCCCTAATAAATGTTTTTATTACAGATGTATTTCTTTTTGTCTCTCAGTACTTTACTATAGTCTGGTGATAGATGTTATAGAAACTTGGTATAAGTTAACTTCAGTATACTTTACTAAAGATAAAAATTTGTATTTATAAAGTACAGTAAAATTTTTAGCAGGAAATTCAATGGTAAATATAAAGGAATTGGTAAGAAAATCGTGTTATTGTATAAAATATTTTCCTATCACACTAAAACACTGTTAAAGTCTTCTGTCTTCTAAACTCATAAATGTAAGCCATTTTATTTAATAAAAAAGACAAAGCCTTTATAAACAGTATATTCTAAAAAATGTGTCAAACTGCTAACTTTAATTTTCTAATGAATTCATTTTATGACTAATTCCACAAAACCTTAAGTTGATCTGCTGAGATGGAAATTATTTCTCCTCCCAGTGAATCCCCATGGTATTTTATCTGTATCTTTCTTGTAGTTTTCAAATGATTATAAGATACTTACTTTACTTGTTTTATATATGACATAAAAGTCTGTACACAATATGTAATACTATACATTTTTATGTTTTGTTTTTGTTTATGCTTATATTTAGTATACAAAAATTCACCCTTCTTTAAAACAAACAAACTTGAGGGCACTGGTGTATCTTATTCATTTTTATAAACCCTCAACAACTACCAATAAAATTTAAATATAAGATATACTCAGTAAATTTTTGTTAAAAAATAGTATTTCTGGGTGTCTGGGTGGCGCAGTCCCTTAAGCATACGCCTTTGGCTATAATCATGATCCTGGGGTCCTAGGATTGAGTCCCCATCAGGCTTCCTGCTCAGTGGGGAGTCTTGCTTTTCCGTCTCCCTCTGCCCCTCCTTCATGCTTATGTACTCTGTCCCTCTCTCAAGTGAATAAATAAAATCCTTTAAAAATAATAACATTTCCTATCAAAAATGCCAATTAAGATGGCCTTACAGACAACTTAAGCAAACAGTACATAAGTATCAGACACATTGACAATTATCATATTTAAATCCTATAGCCTAGAAACAAAAGAAACAAAAACAGCATTAGAAGAGAAATGAAAATGAGGGGAATTCTGCCTTACTTATTGCATATGTGCATATCCTTTCTTCATTTATCATCAAATTTAGTCATAAGCATAATTATCTGTATTTTTCAATCCCACAGACATTAGATTACTATGACACCTGGCAATAATGACTATAATCAATATTCATTTAAGTATATGGTACATCTATGTAATATATGTAACGTAGGCATTCAAATATTACTTTCATTTCTTTTCCTGAATTTTTCTGTCGCCACCTCCTCACACTATGATTGCTAATACTTACATTTAAAATATGTCAATTAAGTCAGAGAATATAGCTTAAATTCAATGGGTAAGTTAGGCTTTTACATATCTTTACACTTTAATGCAATGATAATGATGACAGTAATATATACTTTTAATTTGCTCATACATTTCTCTCATATATAAATTTGTATTGAGTCATTTTACCCAAAAGTGATCATATTGCTCTTCTAAATGGCATCTCTGGAGACAACTAAAGCCTAGTGGAAAAAGGATGGACTTGATGTTATAATATTTGTATTCTAGTTTCAATTCTAGCACGTATTCTATATGTGATCAGGGTTTCTTAATCTGAAAACAGGAATAATAATGTTTATCTCACAAAACTGTTACAAATACTAGTGAGTACTGTTTTTATAAAAATGGAAAATATGATATAAATGCAATGTTGTATTTTTAATCACCATCATCTTGATATACCTAGAAGGCAAATTGTTTATTTTTAATCCTGATTTCCAGTACATCTTATCCAAAAATAATGGTGTGGATTGTGAAAGGCCAAGGAATACTATAGGTAAATAGTTATATCTAAGATTTCTGACTGTGATCTCTAGAAGCATAGAGGTGAGCTTTGCTCTAAAAATTCTTATTTCCCTTTTAATCAAGAATTAATTAAACTAATAAAAATAATAAACCCTAGGATTGTTTTTAAATGTAGATTATCTCTTTTCAACAAATGTCTCTTTAGCATAGCATTTTAACACTCAAAGAAAATTACCAGAACTTTGCTGTATGACTGGTGAGGCTTTCATCATCTGTTTGATCTTTTAAGAAGGTATTAAGCTACTGGCCAACTGAAACGAATGTCCAATTTCTAACTCTACAATATTTTGAAACAGATGTTAACATTTTACTTTGTTGTTCCTTAATATTTGTCTTTTGAATCAACTGCAAGCTTTTTTTGGTGTAAATATTTTCTTTCATGCCTTAGCTGTTTGATCACTTTATTTTTCCTGGCTAATGTTTCACATTTTGCTCTTTGATACTTTCTGGTCAGACCCTTTAGGTCCAAGACTTCAAAGTAACCCAGACCAAATGGCACACAAGACCAATTCTATCCAAGCATTTTAAATTCAAATGTAGTTCTTCAAAATACTTGATGTGCTTTATGAAAAATCACTTCCTTTCTTCCATTCATCACTAGTAAACCTAAAGCATCTTTAAGTAAAAGGCAAAAAAATTAAAGCAATTTTTGTTTGCATTATGTTTTTGGAGTTCTTTCTCAGACAGCTTGATTTAGACAACATGAAGAAGCATTAGCAATCACATTTACTTCCTGTGAGACCACTGCTCCCTAAAAGTTACTTCAAAAGGCAATTATCACATATGAAAGAAGACACTGGAGCTTTATAGTGAACTTATTTTTATTATACTCAAAAGGGTTTTTTTTTAAACAAATAAAATGTAGGCTATTTTTATAAATTGTTGTTTTCATGCTTGTTAAACAATGTTTTTTTTCCTATTACCAAAGTGTTGGTATGCGAAACTGCAAGATTATTAATTTATGTACCTTAATAAATATGCAATCAAAAGAGAAAATTTTCCATTACACAATGAGCTTCTTGAGGATAGGAATCTATCTTACCCATTTTTGCACATTTAAGCATCCAGAAGAGAAGGTGTTCAATAAATATTGTCTTAATAATTAAAGGAAGGAATGATAAGCAATTTATTTTAAGATTATTAGCGATGGCCTAATAAAAATTTTTGGTAAGAAATCTATAATCTAATCATAAAGATAAAAGGGTAATTTATAAATGAGTCCCTTTTTAAAAACATCTAATTAAACAATGTTCCTGCAGAAATACATTCCATGACTTCAAAGCACAATTTTTGCTAATGCAGTGACAGAACTAATTTTAGAGAGCCCAAAGAGCAAAACACAAATAGGTACTATTAAAAAAATCACAAAGCAATTGAACAATATGAGTAAGGTCTCTAGATTAGATAACAATATTACATTAATTTTAATTTCCTTTTTTGATATTTGTTTTGTGGTTATGTAAGAAAATTCCTTACTTTAGGAAATACAAACTGAAGCATTAAGGGTAAAAGGTCATCAGATACACTAATTATTCTTAAATGATTAAAAAAATATTAATATACACATATACCTGTATGTGTAAGAAAAAAATAAATAAAGCAAATGTAATGAAATGTTGACATTTGGGGAATCTGAGTTAAGGCTATACAGGGATTCCTGTACTATTTTGAAACTTCTATGTACTGAAAATATTGCCAAAATTAAATATGCAAAAAAAAAAGAATTAAATTATTAAAATGTCTAAAAAGAAATCATACAATAAATGTAACAAAAAAATCTGTATCAAAAGCATCTGATTAATAAAAGGATAAAATAAACTTTCCTTTTTAGAGGCCAACATAAACTAGAATTTCATAGCAGAAGTGATCAAATAAACCTCCCCAAACTTGGAATTCTCCCAGGAGCCACTGGTCTTCCTCTTCCTCTCAGCAGCCTGGGGTGACCTCTGAAAATGGTTCGCTATTCGCTTAACCTGGAAAACCCTACGAAATCATGCAAGTCAAGAGGTTCAAATCTCCATGTTCACTTTAAGAACACACGTGAAACTGCCCAGGCCATCAAGGGTATGCATATCAGAAAAGCCACCAAGTATCTGAAAGACGTCACTTTGCAGAAGCAGTGTGCCATTCTGTCGCTACAATGGTGGAGTTGGTAGGTGTGCCCAGGCCAAACAGTGGGGCTGGACACAAGATTGGTGGCCCAAGAAGAGTGCTGAATTTTTACTGCACATGCTTAAAAATGCAGAGAGTAATGCTGAACTTAAGGGTTTAGATGTCAATTCTCTGGTCATTGAGCACATTCAGGTGAACAAAGCCCCCAAGATGTGGCATAGGACTTACAGGGCTCATGGTCGGATTAACCCATACATGAGCTCTCCCTGCCACATTGAGATGATCCTTACTGAAAAAGAGCAGATTGTTCCTAAACCAGAAGAGGAGGTTGCACAGAAGAAAAAGATATCCCAGAAGAAACTGAAGAAACAAAAACTTATGGCCCGGGAGTAAATTTACACAGAATAAATGCAAATAAAAATAAAAAGCAAAAAACAAACAAACAAAAAACTTCCCCAAACTTAAACATGGACTTTCAGGTGTAGACTCTACCCCAATACCTCTTATACCTACAATGACTTAACCTGAGTCTTAATATACGATTATATCTTATGGAACAACAAATTTGTAGAAAACATTATAAGAATGCTTTTTCTCAGCCTTTTAAGGAACACGCATTATCCCTGTAGGAATCTGATCAGCCTTCTTTCCTTAAATTTACCCAATTCTGGATAAAATGAAATTAATCAGTAAGCATTATAAAGTGAAGAAGGTTGATAATCTGTTAGCCTCTCTTCCAATTCAATGAAATATCAACATTAGATATCTTCTGGGCACTGGAAAAACTCACCGTCTACTTTTTAAGAGTATATGGAAAATTAAAATATGCTAATAAAGAAAAGCTAGTTTTGTGGAGAAAGTAATTATCACTAATAATGAAATATATATTTTATCAACTATTACAAAGTTTACGACACAACTCAGAAAAAAAGAAAACACATTCTTACCCAATTGGGAAATCAACATCATCACCATGAGCTGTCATGTGATAAAGTCCAAATTTAGCCAATTTAACATGTCCCTACAATAATAATAAAAATCACTATTAAATGTTTTAATATTAGTAGTAGGAAAAAGTATCATTATACATTTCATAAGTAAGGAAATCACCAGCCAGGTATATTAAGAAAAAAAATTAATTTGCCATAATTTTAGTTTATCATAATTTTATTTAAAAAGTATTCGCCAATGTCTGAAACCTGCTTTACACTCATTACAAATATATGTATAAGTATATGCATATGTGTATGTATGTATATACACATACATATATTACTTATATATAGATCTCAAAAAAAAACAAACGCTTAAAATTTTTTGTTTATATTTTCCAGGTTTGTTTTTTTTACGATTTTATTTATTTATTTAACAGAGAGAGAGATCACAAGCAGGCAGAGCGCAGGGGAAGCTGGCTCCCTGCCGAGCAGAAAGCCCAATGCAGGGCTTGATCCCAGGACCCTGAGACCATGACCTGAGCCGAAAGCAGAGGCTTAACCCACTGAGCCACCCAGGCGTCCCAATATTTTCCAGGTATTTTGACGAAACCAGAAAAGCAGAAATGTTCTCATTTGTCTTGAATCTCTGCTTCGAACATTTTTTGGTAAATTAATAAAATAATTTTTTTTTGTCTGTTCTGTTCCCTTTATTAATCTTTACTTCTGCAATAGAGTCTATTCTGCATAAGTAATAAATAAACATTTATCAGGATGAATTAACTAGTAGGTGAACAGAGGAACAAGAATGTGGGATTGTGGTTAAACATTTCCATTATTTTCCAAGACTTATTTCCTTTCAGCTTTCCCTCCCAAACCCACTTCTTTTTTTTTTCTTTTTTCTTTTTATTTTTTTAATTTATTTTCAGCATAACAGTATTCATTGTTTTTGCACCACACCCAGTGCTCCATGCAATCCATGCCCTCTCTAATACCCACCACCTGGTTCCCCCAACCTCCCCCCAACCCCGCCGCTTCAAACCCCTCAGATTGTTTTTCAGAGTCCATAGTCTCTCATGGTTCACCTCCCCTTCCAATTTCCCCCAACTCCCTTCTCCTCTCTAACTCCCCTTGTCCTCCATGCTATTTGTTAGGCTCCACAAATAAGTGAAACCATATGATAATTGACTCTCTCTGCTTGACTTATTTCACTCTGCATAATCTCTTCCAGTCCCGTCCATGTTGCTACAAAAGTTGGGTATTCAGCCTTTCTGATGGAGGCATAATACTCCATAGTGTATATGGACCACATCTTCCTTATCCATTCGTCCGTTGAAGGGCATCTTGGTTCTTTCCACAGTTTGGCGACCGTGGCCATTGCTGCTATAAACATTGGGGGTTTTTTTCAAGGACTTGCAAGTCTATTCATAATGTTATAATGTAACCCTGACATGGGGGTTCTCAACTTCAAAAGATCAGTTCACAAATCAAAATATTACTGAATCTGCTAGATTTCTAATTTTTATATTGTTTGAGAAAGTTATAATTATCACAAAAGTGCGGTTCTTAATAAAAAGCAAATATAAATTTTGTAAGTCTCGTAAGTTTTCCTCCTTTTTGATACTTAACACTTTAAAAAAAGTTAAATTGATTTTAAGATTTGTTTTCTTTTTCTCAAGAACTTTACTTCCCAGAACTATAAAACATTTATATATTAAAACAATCAGATTGGTTAGATACTCTACTGCTATAAAAATGCGATTAAGGAGTACTAGTGTAGCTTTTATGATTTTTAATATCATAGGGTAATTTGGTAAAAGTCTGGGAATCAGAGGAAAAGAATAATCCTACTAATACAAAATAAAATTCCCCAGAAAAAATTCTCTCAAGACTACTTTATATGCTTACGGAAAAATGAATGTATGATTATTCCTGAAAACATACTATCTTGCTACCCATAATTTTCTTATGAGGGTTGACCTGCTTCTTATTAATCACCCACAAGATTTCCAGGTTGGGAAGTGGCATTCCAATAAGAAAAGAAGCTAGGTATGAACAGCTGGTAAATAAAGAAGATAAATGGAGAATAAAATAAAAAAGAAAAAAATAGGGAAGAAGAAAGATACAGAGAAGAAAATACAATGCAGCTATGGTATGACAAAAATACTCTATGTAAATAGAGAAGCTTTCTTAAAATGAAAGCAAATTTAGAGGAGGAATGGACTGGGAAGATACCATACCTATTTTTCAGAAAGCAAATGAAAGGAAAAACCAAAAATGAAGTTAGAAAATGAATCTTGAGAAAAAAAGAATAATGCATGTGAAAAACACATGGATTTATATAATTTAAAGATAAGGTTTTTTTTCTAACTACTACAAAGATATCACTTTCATAGAGCCATTTCATTATGAATATTATTAAAATATATTTGTATTCTATAGTCGCTCTGAGTGGGTCTGATTTCAGCAGCTTCCAACCACAAACAACAAATATTTAATGTATTATTTGACAATTACCTTTCGGTCCAAAAGAATATTATGAGGAGACAGTGCTCGGTGTACTATACCATGTTTGTTCATATATTGCAGACCTTGAAGTACCTCAAATGCAACGCACAAAACCGTTGAATAGCTATGAAGAAAACAAAAAGTCACAGATCAACAGATCAATTACAAAGCAGAAACAGAATCTGTTTTAAAGAATGAAATGAGGTCATTAAAATTCAGTTATATTTTTATTATTCTTCCTCTATTCAGAGAAAATACAATCCATCCAATTTATAAAATATCCACTATATACATATTTTGGATTTTCTGATTACATTGGAATTGATCTGGCAAGATCCTACAGTTTCATGAGGCTACTCTAATAGCAGTATTTGTTTTTTCCAGGGAGGGAGTTGAATTTTGGTGGTGTGCGATTAACCTTCTGCAGGTTTGGCTTTACCAAATTATCAGAAAAGTTTCAGATATATGGCAGAACTAAGTCAAGGAAAACCACCACTACTGCTCAAGACAAAATGCCTAAGTCCCTGAAAAAGAGCTAAAATATATTTTATGGTAGATATACATGAGGTTATTTACATATCAATCCACAAAGCAACCTCCAGCAATTCATGATTTAGCATACATTTCTCTTCAATTCTTTCTAAGCCATCTTCCACCCCAGTTTCTCTCTCTCTTTGCCTCTCCATCTCTTTCCATTTTTCTTTTTTTAATCCAGCACCATTCTGTGGGAAATCAGGAATGAGATACAGAAAAATAGGAAAGACTAATTCAAACCCAATCTCCCAAACTATCAATATTAACATTTTGGTATAGAATTTTCTACCCATTTTTTTTGCCATTTTGAATTAGACTTTTAAAAATTAAATTAATATCTATAGGAAGTCACTAAAAGTTATTTTAAAAAAAGATATACATAAGCCAACAGTAGAGATAAAATGGAATTATTAAAAAAATAGACAATCCCAAAGCTGGCATAATAAAAGGAAAAAAAGAACAGAGAACAAATGGAACAATTAGAAAATAATAGATTTTAATTAGGATGTATCAATAACTATATTAAATGCAAATGGAAACATTTAAACTCACCAATACAAAGCTAAGAATTGTGAGATTGGATAGGAATTGAGACTCAACTACATTCAGACTATAAGCAACCCACATTAAATAAAAAATGTAAGTTAAAAGTAAAAGAATGGAGTAATAGGTTACTGATTATCATGGGCTTGCTTGGTAGGACAGGTTGACTACAAAGGAGTATGTGGAAATTTTAACTGACAGAATTGTTATCTTGATTTTGATGATCATCACACTATTGAGTTTATCAAACTGACTGACCTGTACACTAAAAAGGCTATATTTTAAAGTATGTAAAGTATATCTCAAAACATGTGATGTTAAAAAAAGTAAGCTGAATAAAATTAAAAAAAAAACTTGCAATACGACTCCCTCCTCTAAATTAAAACCATAAGAAAAAACAAGACATGAAAAGCAAAAATCTCTCTCTTTTCATTCTACTCTGATTTTCCAGAGTAGAATGACCCTTAGCAGTTTCTGTTTTCAATTCTTCTCGTGGTTAGAATTTTAGTTAATATAATTAAATCTTCTTCACTATGCAAGATGATACAATTAACATACTTTTACAACTTTCTCATTTTCCTTTCCCAACTCCTGATTTTTTTTAGCTGTATTATTTTTACATTATCAAATTTTATAAGTGAAATAAAAAATCTACATTTCTTTTTTGACGGCTAAACAAATAAACAAGTAAATACATAACATGACATGGTGATTAGGTGCTAAGGAGAAAAAGTAGGGAAGAAAGAATATGGGGTAGCAGGATGCTAATACAAACAAAGTGTGGTCAAGGAAGACCTCACAAAGGTGATATTTGTGCAGAAATCTAAAAGAACTGAAAAAAGACATGCAGCTCTCTGGGAAATATGTGATTCAGGCAGAGGGCACAGTAAGTCCTGAACTGGAAACTGCACAGCAATTCAGAAAGTTCAATGAAGCCACTATGCATGCAATAGAATGAGCGAAGGGTAAAGTATTAGGAGATGAGGTCAGAGACATAACAAGGAGCCAGATCACGTAGGCCATTTAGGCCATTGTAAAGACTCTGGCTTTCACTCTGAGACAGATGGGAAGTGACTGTCACATTGCCATACTATGATTAGTAAATATTCACTCTAGAACTAAGAAAAAAATATATATCTAAGCCACTTAACCCCTAGTTCTCAAGCAAAAACATCTCAGTCATCAGGATTTAATATGTACTATAATTTTATGATTATAACTACTCATGAAGGTTATCATCAGCTACCATTATTTTTATACCTCCTATTATTCATTTTGTATTTATATTTTTACTTAGCTAGAATACAACCATGAGAAAATTTTTCATAAGTGTGGCATGAGTAGGACATTTTAAAGCATGACAGGTCTTTCTTTTTTTTAAGATTTTTATTTATTTATTTGACAGACAGAGATCACAAGTAGGCAGAGAGGCAGGCAGAGAGAGAGGAAGGGAAGCAGGCTCCCTCCTGAGCAGAGAGCCTGATGCGGGGCTCGATCCCAGGACTCTGGGATCATGACCTGAGCCGAAGGCAGAGGCTTTAACCCACTGAGCCACCCAGGTGCCCCAAAGCATGACAGGTCTTAAAATGTCTTACTCTTATCTTTAAACTTGAAAAAGATTTCTCCATTGTCTTCAACTGTTCTTTATTACTGGTAAGAAGTTCCGTATCAACATAATTTTGTTGTAGATAGCTTGTTATTCCCCTTTGGAAGTTTGTGATTCTTTTCACTTTATCCTTAGACTTGTAAAATTTTAGTCCAGTGTGTGTAGAGTGTGGGCATTTGTTCATTTATGTAAGAAGCCACAGGTGTGCCTCTTTAATCTGAAGACTCACATGTTCTATTAGCAGAAGAATTAACAAGGAAAAGTTGATTTGTTAGGTCTTTGTTTTCTCCCTCTACTGTATCTTTTAGTTAGAACTCTTAGTGGGCAGGTAAAAATTAGATCCATTCTCCAGACCAACTTTCTGTTTTATTTCCTATGAGCACAGTCTTTAGTCCTATCTCTTCTATTATTTAATTTCCAGATTCTTTGTCCTGATCTGTAGCTGTTAGTTTTCAATGGATCCTATTCTGTGGTATGGATACATTATTCTTTTAAGTCTCTCTGAGAATTGTTACTAGAATTCTGCTGATTCGGGGGTGGGGGCGGTGTTATCTTCATTTCCTCTAAGGTAAGTTTTTTTGTTTTCCTCCCTTGGCTTTCTTTCTCTCAGACTTTTTCATCAAATGTCAGATAATCCCTGGTTATCAGCCATATTTTAAAATAAATTGATATTCTCCATGAAATATGTAAAAAAGAAACAAAAGAAATTACTATTTATAAAGAATGCTTCTTTAAAGTATTTCTCTTTATCAAATAGTTCCCCCATATTAAAGAGACACAACAGTCAATCTTAGGCAAATAGAGAATGTGTGAAACAAAACCAATTTTAAATTAATGGAGTTTTCATAAACATCCACAAAAAAGAAACCAACTATGGAAAGGAAAAGATCGCAAACTTTAAAACAGCCATAGTAACACTGATAAATATGTGTGTATGAAAGAATACAAATGTCTCCCTTTTAAAAAACAAAGAAAAACTTTTCTTGAGATTGACTAATAAAACATAAGAACCTAGTTTTCTAAGCTCATTTGGCTGTATGAGTCCAGTTTACATCTTACATAAAAGTCCTCTTTTATCCTTCTTCCCTTTCTCTGACATGCACACACACAATTCATAAAATCTTAAAAGCTGATGCCATATTTAGCCGTGACACTAGAGGACCTCAGTTGCACACTGCTTCAATACAGAAATCTTTCTTAAAAAACCAAACCTTTAAAGCGATTTTTTCCATTAAAACAGTTCTGAAACAGCTGAACACAGAAGACTGCATGTTCTATACTGTCTACTTGCTTTTCTGATTGTAAAGTACAACTGGAAAATACTTTCACATCAAAAAGCACATTCATTCTATTATCAAGTTGATGCACATATATGTTGAAATAGTTTTTTAAAATTCAAACACAGGAAAGCTGAAGCTCATGACAAATCTTAGCCATTACTTGAGACTACACATGAATTAAAGCTAATGGACTAAGTATTCTTCAGAATAAATTATAGTAACTCAGATTTGCTTATCTGCCCTTTTGTATTCTTAGGATTTAATTCTAAAATTTATTTTAAAAAATAAGGTAAAGGAGAAGAATCAGTATATGTGAAATTCCGTATACTCGTTTTGCTTTTAAAACTATATTCTTTAATACTGCCAATAATTTAGATCACAAAATCTTTTAAAAAATTATTTTGAAGTAGCTAATGCAATTATAACACAACAGCAAGGTAAAAAAAAATCATATGTCCAGTAATAGCATGTCACAGTTAATTGAAAATGGACTCCAGAAGGAGAGTTACAATTAAGAGAGTGGGATTCTTGCAATTTAAAAAAAAAAATGTTTGCAGGGGATAACAGCACTTCATCCTACACAATTTCCAAGTTATAATCTCATTAATAAAGAAATCCATCACTAATCTATAAAATGTAAATGAAACTTCAAGTCAGAAAATATTATCTTCCTTTTGAAATTTTCAGTTACTACGTTACTCCCAAAGATTGTGAGAATAGATTACTTTGTTACCATTGTCCTTGATACTCTGAAAACTTTAATGAGCATAAAAATCTTTGGTGATTATAAATACATAGAAATGGCTAAAAGGCAGCTTTCAAAATAATATGACTAATAATTTTTAATAGAACAAGATGATATTTTAAAATACTTTCATTTATATTTAAACATACCAATTAAGTGGCTATTATCTACTTGGTATTGTGTTTTCACACTACTGTGTTAGGCTCCATGGCTATCAAGAGAAAGAACTGATCTCTACAATCAAAAAACCTACAGTGTAGGTGGAAAAACAGTTTTATAAACCGATAATTTTAATACAACTGAATTCAAAAGAATTTCAATGTAATTCTATAATTAAGTCAGAAGAGAATTAATCATCCATTTCCTCTGTGTTACAAGAAAAAGAAAACATGAACATCTATTTATTACATTGGTGA